ATATTGATAAAATAAATTACTTGAGTTATTAATTAGTTTTTAATGTTTTTATTAAGAAAACAAAATTGATGCTTAGACATGATTTTTTGAGTATAAAACAGGACCTAAAAAATGCTCCAAACATATTTGAGTCAGTTAAATTTTGTGCAGAATAATGAGGTTAAATCAAGAATTCAAGGATTTTCATTCCAAATGAGAACTACATGAGGAATGAAAGATAGATACTAAGGTCACAGTTGTCAGCAAAACATAAATAAATAAAAAAATAAGCCATAAGAAGACAAAAAGAAAAAAAAAAAACCTGTACATAATGTGTTACACATGGAGTTTATTTATTTATTTAACCTTTATTTATCCAGGTAAACTGAGAACCACTTCTCATTTACAAACATGACCTGGCATACACTGACATGGAGTGCATTTCAATATACAAACCTACATATTCAGCCATAGTAAAGTGATTGTAAATTTTAATCACGATTAAAATTTTTAATCTATGCCCATGCAGCACTAAAATAAATCAATATGAGTTAACTCAATTAATTTCACAGCCCTAGTTACAACTCATCATTACTGTACAAGCATTATTGTTTGAGGAAAAAAATCAGTAAACCTACTTTGTGGTGGAAYATTTTTATTGGTTTGGGATAGGTATTTAGAAGAAGAGTGCACTTGTTCTTTAGCTGGTTGTTACATAAGTCGAGAGCGAGTCCAAGGACRGGGTGATCAGGATGGACACTGTGGACACTAGATGAGGATAATGAGCTTCTTCCTGTGGAAAGGACTCCTGCTGTTTAGCCCATTAGAGCTGTAATCTGCAGAAGTCAGCGGAGCATTTCCTTCCATCAGGGATCACCTTGGTCACTGCATCTTTGCTATTCTTAGCTGCCTACTTCTGTTTTATTTATTTATTTATTTTTTTAAATCTTTTTACAACACACCCTGCCAGGTAAGGATGAGATTTACACCAGGCGGTCACAGTACGTAATCACTAAGTAGACGGTTCGAGAGCGCGTGAACAGAGTGTCGGGCACAGATGTGTGTGAGGCTACAGCCATGTGGAGCTTTGTGAATGTCCCACACACTTCTCTGCATATCCAATTAAAATGCCTGTCGAGGGCAGAGCAATCGATTATCAAAAAAATAAAAATAAAAACATGTTCAGGTCATTGTCTTCCTAAGGACGACAATGGATCAAATGATTCTCATTTAGCAATATAGTCTTTGCAGCATAAGTTGAGAGGTTCTTGACCTGTACTCAGATGTATATTTTTATTTCAAACAACTTGATTCACATATTTAGGTCACATGACATCTCAGGTCAGTCTCAGTCAAGGTTAGAATAGTTTTGGATTTTTCATTATAATTTAGTTTTATTTTGTTGTGACATTTTTTTCTTTAAATTCGGTTAGTTTTAATTTTTGCAAAGGATTTGCTACTTTTTATCAATTATTATTGCATTTTTAATGCTTAGTTTTAGTTTAGTTTTTATTAGTTCTAGTA